TCCAGGGTGAGTTTTGTCAGATAGCTCGGTAGATAATGGTAGATAATATATAAATATCTCCAGTGAACAACAGAAGTTTTGTTGAGACTCTGAGGAATAAAGATTCATACTGATAAGTTACAGATGCTTCTGGTCAGGGAGACACTGACTACCTGGTACAAGTGGGCCTTGTCTTCCAGAGATGCTAGGTCCTCTGCCTTGGTCACAAATCTTTCAGGAAGAGAAGCCGACCTTAAAGGCTGTTGACAGCAGTGTTTGGTGAGCTCCTCTTATTCTGTCATAAACCAGCTTGAGTTTTTACAAATTTTGTCAGGGGAATGGTGTTTCTTTGTGATGCTCAGTAAGCATGTGTTAAGTCAGAAAAGTACAGCAAAGTCCACTTTCACTTCCCTCCAATGTATTTTCTCACTTCCCTAATACAGTCTATTACAGAGACGGCACACTGAGCTTCACTGCCTCTCAATTCCAGGTATGACTGACGTGTGGAAAACAAGGTTGGTTTGTGCGGGGAAAAAAAAATCTTCCAGTTGTTCCCCAGTGTTCACTTTCCTTTTCTAATACCACAGAAGAAAGTGAAAGGAGTCGTGACCATCCAGCTAAAATCTGAATGTTTCTCCTGTTGATGATTTCTGAACCATGGACTATTGGTGATGGGTGTGAATTCCAGGCTGTTTGTTAGATGAACATGGCAATTAGGGAAGAGGAAAAGGTGTTAGACATACCAGATAAACTTGGTTTTGTTTGTGACTGTCCTACATGGTCCATCAGACAGTCCCCTGACCTGTGTTTAACAGGAGTGTCAAAGGATACACATCAGACTCTGAGGATATGAAGAATGGCATCCATACATGGACAGGAGCACAAGCGCATAAGACATTCCTTTCATAGGATAAATAAACCATAAGTGCAAAAGCATATAAGACAGGAGCACAATATTAAGTAATTTCAAGGTAAGAGAACTGAGAAGTTGAGAAAAGTGAATTACAAGTCACAAATGACACCTTACTGCCACTGGGTGAGAGAAACTGACTAACTCTCAAAAAGATAACGCATGGTGGTACTCCTTGTGACCGAAGACGGTAACAGAAAACAGAATAGAGAACTGCTAAGTCTGCTAGCCTCAAAGAAATATCTCTTCCCAATACCACTTAAGGAAACAATTAAGCTAATTAAAGTTTGAAGCAGAAGAAAACAATAACAAATAATCCCTCTTAGCAGAATTTACACAGCACTGACAGTGTGCTCTACAACGTTCTGGGTATTTGTACAGCATCAAGGCACATAATCAGCATAACACCTCAATGAAACATCATGACTGTTTTCCTTTTTTTTAGATGAGGAATTGAGAACTAGAGCTGCTGTAGCCACATAACCAGTAAGTAACAGCCACGGACTGATCAGGCTGTCTACAGACACCTATTCTTAACCACGGCACAAAAATCAAGCAAAAGATCAATTGTGTCATATGAACCTGATTACAAATACTTTTCAGAATTTTTCTTCCAACAAGCATGCAGGTAATGGAAGCTAAGTAGGAAAGTCCCATGGAAGTGTGGTAATAGTTTCAACTTCAGTAATACAATGGAGGACAGTTTTATAGTGCAGTAAAGGAAGTAACAGTAATTTAAAGAGCTGAACAATATTAGTTAGTCAATTCAAGGATGTAATCAGCACATGGCTTAATATGATTGTGCTCAATCCAGGAAATCCTGAAGCGTAGGAATGTATTTCTAGGTATTTGCATAAGTGCCAGACACTTTCATGATACACAAAAGGTGTTTGGAATTTGGGGAAAGATGCAGCTCTGTTTCCAGTATTCCATGTGAACTTTTCAACGGGAATAACTAGAGTCATGAAGATGAGTCAGAGAGGGGCTGGAGAAACAACTCAGTTTTCAAGTGAGATGAGGACATGTTACCTTGTCAAGGGATAATAGACTGATTCAGAGCATCTGTCCTCTCTGACCCAATTTAAAAATGGCTCCACACAGCAACATCACAATACCCACCTTCAGGAGAAAGGAGACACAGGCAAGGCCACGTTGGCAACATGACTCTATGCAGGGTGTTCTCAAAAGGGCCAGGCTGTAAATGTTGTCCCCTTGCTGGGCCATATTATGACTCTTTTTATCACAATAATCAACGATCAATCAAAGATTTTATACTGCCTTTACTCCAGATCAAACACACACACACACACACACACATTGAAGTCCTCAGTTAGCCTCAACTAAATGAGTGATCAGGCCCTCAGAGATGGCGCAATCTCCACCTGCACTCAGAACTTTCTAGCATCATGAGATGCAGGTGTTTATATGCTATTTCCATCAGGAGAGGAAATGACGCTCATGAAACTGAGGGGAGAGTTTTTCTATTTTGAGAAATACAAAAAGCACACCTCATGAGCATTTCATATTACTATAACTGAGGGAAATATGTTTAAACCGTTCTTAAATAGTTTGAGAATACACTACTATAAAGAATTCAGTAGTTATTGAAAGTCACAGGAATTCTTCAAGATATAAAGGTTCTTTATGTCATTAGTATAATTTTAAGGGATGGAACTGCCATCAGTTTTGTCCAGAATAATTCATTATTACCAAAAATTACTTTTTGCTTTCTTCTTTTGTAGGGAGGGGACATCAGGGTACTGAGAACAGAGCCTAAGCCCTCACGAACGTTAGGCAAGTGCTCTACCACTGAGCCACACTTTCAAACCTCACCAAACGCTCCTTTCTCAACCTATATTATTTTAAAATATATTTTATTGGATTTATTTATTTAGTGTGTATATGTGTGAATGTGCACAGGAGTGTGTGTGTGTATGTGTGTGTGTGTGTGTGTGTGTGTGTGTGTGTGTGTGTGTGTGTGTGTGTGTATTTGATCTGCATAGAAGTCAGAGGATAACTTTCAGGATGCAGAAGTTGATTCTTTCCTTCTACCATGTAAGTCCCAGGGATTGACCTCAAGTTTTCAGGTTTAGCAGCAAGCACCTCTACCCACTACTCACTGAGCCATACCACCAGCATCCAACCTATATTTGTAATGCAGAGTAACACTGTAATCCACTAATCCATTAATTCAATATGAATAACACTGTAATCTTCTAATCCATTAATTAAACCTGAGTAACGCTGTAATCCACCTTATCAACTACTGTATAAGACACCTGGCCAATGCCTAAATCTTTCCATTTAAATTTCTATATATTCATTACATCTGGGTCTAAAAATTTCACACAAGATATTTTATTAATTACTTTAGCTTTGAAGCAAGTATTAGGGAAACATTGATCACAAAGCGTGAAGTCAAAGCTGGACAGAAGTAAAAAGTTTTAGTCACAGCACAGTGACTGCAGCTAACTGTTTTAAAATTAATAATGGATAGATTTAAAATAATAAGCATGTGAGGTCATAGGCAAGTTAGTTCACTTGATTTAAACATTCTACAATGTATGCCTCCATTATAGCCTTACATAATACTTCATACATATAGTATTTGACAATTTTTTTTAAAAAAGATGAAAAAGCTTAAAACCAGAATTACTTAAAGTGTTCATGTTAAATCTCAATCCTCATTTAATTGGATTTTGTGGGAGGTACGGATAAAATAAAAACTATTAGCAAAATTACCATTAACATTTATCAAGATTTAAGTTCATGTACTTACTACAGCTAGGCACTATAGACATAACAAAGGGACATCCTTTAGGTATAATTATTATATGCTTTTAATTGAAAGGAGAGCTAAGAAAGGAAAAGAAACTGAGTCTATAATGTAAGTGACAGAGTCGATAAAGAATCCAATTCTGATAACCAAATTTATGTACATGAACACTAGGTTATAGCATACTGGGTGGAAGAACAGAATATGGAGTACAGCCCAACTGTGATGCAGAATTAAAAATTTCCTTCATTACACAGAGGACAGTCTACAATAGATCCCTTGGAATTAAATAAATTCAGTTTAATGTTTGACTCCAGTTGTAGCTATGTGATGGACTATTAATAACTAGGGGCTTGGATGACTGAGGAGATGTTTTACTCTGCCCCTGGATATGTGGTCTAGTGACATCAGAGTTGAATTCTAAACTTCATAGTTCTAGAATTCAAGATGACATTCCACAAGACCACAGTGGTTGGATTTTCCAATTTAAAACAAATGTGCCCAACCGATACATGTGTTCTGGTGGGAGATAATTCCTTAAAATATCCTTGAGCCCAGAATTAACTGAGGAATAAGAAACTTCTGCTGACCATTCCACAGGCCTTTCCCCTATCCAGTGCATGGTTCCTGAGCAAAGTCACAAGAGATGGCAAGATAAAGAAGGAATTGCAGGGTTTGGTAACAAAAAGCCTTTGTAGGGACGAGCCAGGGCCACCTAGGGAGAATTGTTTTCTATGTTCAGTTGGCAACCACTTGCAAATCATCTCGTCCAACAAAATTGAAAGACCAGTGCTCTGCTCCTCTACTTCACAGTATGGTGTTTGCTCAGTGTTCTCATAGTACATCCCACAGAAACAAGGAGGGATTTTATTGAGATTGAACATCATTTGACAGTAACCGTGGCCACAGCTGTAAAACTCGAGGATCCAGTACCTTCCCCACCCAATTGCACACTGCAGCATCCTGCTGACATCCGTTTGGAGAGAACATGAGATTTCTTTCCCGTTAGTATGGCAGCCAGAGAGATCTCACGAGCAATAGTGACAAATCAGTACTTAAATGTTTATAACATCTGCTACAGTATCCTTACTTATCATCAGGACCCGTTTTTAGGAAACGTGGCCAAGGTATGCACTCGGTGTCTGCTCTGTAGGCAGGTGAATACCGTGTTCTAATTTCAGTTACATCCTCTAGCATTTTCAAGAAGCAATGGCAGCTACTCTGAGTTACACCCTGCACGTAAGCATCCCTCTCCACTAAGCAAGCCCGAGAAAAACTATCCCAGACATGAACACCGAGGAAGAAAACCACAAGTCTTCTTAGGAGGTGCCTTACCAAGGATGCTCCAGAGGCCCAGATGGAGGATTAAGAGTTCCCTAAATAACTCTGGAGTCCCAAGCATGGCAGGCAGTGTCTTCATTCCCAGCACATATCAGGCAGGGGTAAACTCCTCAAGCAGAAGGCTTCTCTTCCTCCCTAGGGATCTTCCGAGCTGGATGGTATTATCTATCCTAGCAGCATCTTAGAGGGAAAAAGTCAGGAGAGCTGGTGGGAGAGGACAGTATGAAGAGCCTGAGTGATTTTCTGAAAGCAAGTGAACAGAAACTGTGCTGTGGTTTTGCTTCTGATCCAATCTACCCTTCACTTCTCAGGTCTTCTGATGTACAAAGCACCTGGGTCCCTGCTTCTCCTTCCGCCCTGCCACTCAATCTTCTTCCGTCGCCTTGAGGTTTTTCTCAAAGTGAACAATTAAACTTGAAAAATCTAAATTGGTCCAGTCTTTAGCTGATTTTAATCAAATCAAGGTTGGGAAATTCATGGTAAAAGTACCTAGGGTAAGCATACATGTTCCCTTTCCATAGCTTGTGATTATGAAACTTCTTCTGTGTAGTGTATCTTAGAACCGCCCCCACCCCCACCCATCATGTCATGGTAAGATGAGAATGCTTATTGACCTGAAAACAATGAAGACTTATCCGAGCTTATGGAGAAAATGAGTGACAGGATGCACTTTACCAACAGAAGAAGACAGGGCCTTCTTCTTTGATCTGTAGATGTCTATCAATGGAACACAATCACCATTAGTGCTGTCTCCATGTTCTTTCTAAATATTAAAGTTCTAAGCAAAACGAGATCTTGAATACCAATTAAAGGAAACTTCCATTTTTGGTATGCTTTATGTGGTTGTTGTCTAGATTAAGCAGTAAAGTAAGAAATGGGAAAGTTCTAAATTAGATAGCTGGGGGTGGGGGGAGGGGGGAGGGTTCTGGGTTCCCAGCACACATTTAATCACTAGCTTAAAACAACAGGAACTTATGCATTTTCCAAATGAAAAAGCTTGATGTTTATTGCTTGTGCATTTGTAGTCATTGGGAGAAATTGAGAAATTTTTTCCTCAAAGGTTGGTAATATCCACCCAAGGTCAAACTCCAGTGTATTGTGTATTTATTTATTCAAACAGATAAACCACAGTGACTGGAGATACAAACATGAATGAACACACTGCTTCTGAATTTAAGAAACTTGGCCAACCAGTATTGATATCCATGTACCCCAGACACACCAGGTAATACAGTCTGCAGAGCTCTTAGAAGCTGCACTGCTGGCCAAGGAGGCACCCTGTTTATAGTACGTTACCACTCATTCCTTTTTCCTGGTCAGAATGGGGTGCACAATTCCTGTGGCAGTTAAAGCAATGTTCATTGTCCCTCCAAAATGGCCTGAGAAGTTTAAAAGAAAAGTCTTGAATCATCTAAAGTTCAAGATATCGTCCAACCAGAAGTAAAGCCTGTCAAGTATAGACTTTCATCATTCTCTACTCTGGGGATTGTTCTCTCTCACCTCCTGCTCCTGCTTCTGCTTTTGGTGTGTGTCATGTATGTAAGTGTTTGTGTAGATGTGTGGACATGCTGTGTGCACTCTCCCGAGCGTGTTCATGGATCAGGTTTCTTTCTCAGTCATTTTCCACCTTATATTTGTAGACAGGGCTTCTCACTGAACCAGAAGCTCATCGATTTGACTAGAGTGAAGTGGAAATGAACTCCAGGAATCCATCTGTCTCTCTCACTCACTCCCCAGCACTGGGATTACAAATACATATCACTGTATCTAGCCTTGTTTGTAGTTTCTGGGGATCTGAATTAAAGTCCTCATTTTTGCACAGCAGGTATTTTACTGGCTGAACCATCAGCCTCATGATTTCTTTTGTCATATAAAAGAGTCCATACTGGCCAGGCTATGGTGGCGCAAGTCTTTAATCCCAGCACACGGGAGGCAGAGCCAGGCAGATCTCTATGAGTTCGAGGCCAGCCTAGGCTACAGAGTGAGTTCCAGGAAAGGCTCAAAGCTACACAGAGAAACCCTGTCTTGAAAAAGAAAAAAGAAAAAAAGACTCTACAGTTAATAGATAAAATTTGAAAAAGCCTTACAATCATCTAATGGATTTTAAGTAATGTCCATTCTAATGGTTTTCTCAGTGTGTCTGGCTATTTATCACTTTCTGGCTGGCAGTACTAAGAGCACTACTAGCCAAGACTTTGCCTCAGAATCTCACTCTCCTTTTTATTCTAGGAAAGAACTCAAAGAAGCCAGATTCAGAAACGCATTGCTCAATGACAAGTCAGTATTGCTTTGTGTTTATAACTTATCCAGTAGCTAGGTTTTTTGTCTCAAATAAAAAGTAATCATGTATCACTTGATCCCACCGTAATCATGTATCATTTGATCTGAACATTGTAATTTCCATGTCAATGCACATATTTAAAGAGTTTACTGCATTCTTAGAAGTGATTTGTTGCATACTGGGAACAGTTTTAAAACACAAACTTTAGAACACAAACTGCTAGTTGTATGTTGAATGACAAAAAGTAAAATAGAATTTGGCAAAATGCAAATTATCTTTACAAACACCCAGGAGCTACTTGCACAGTAATTATTCCACTTACTTGCTGACTCAGTTACTACTGTGAAGCATAAAGCAACTTTATTTTCTGTAGTATTTCATCCAGGTGTTCAGAAAAACAGCAGTCACAAACTTAGATGCAATAATGTTCGACAACATCAGACCCTTCTTAGTCATGACTTTTTTAATGCAAACCCAGATAATACTCCACAGCATCACCCCACATCTAAAACCATTCTCATTCTAGTGTATTGCTTTCTGCGCTAACGTTATTGCTAACAGTGGCATCTATACATGACTGCTCTTTACAATCAGCCTGAGCACTTGTTAGAAAATGACTGATTCCTAGGTCCTGCACTTCACCTAGTGAATTCAGATCCCACAGAGCTGTGGCCAGAGCGCAATTTTGAAAAAGATATAAACATGGTTCTGACACATTCAATTGAAAGGATGGTTAGAAATTGACTTGTTGGTGGAGCTGGTGAAGTTCTGAGATGTGGTACCAAATATTTGATACTCACTAGATGTCATGTTTTTTAAATTCTTAAGACCCAAGGTAGACCCAGGGATGTCCTACAAGACTGTCCTCTATAGATGTGTTTACTGCTCTGGGGACGGCAGTTAACACAAGCCTCAGTTATTAACTCCCTCAGTGTGTTCTCCATTGAGAAGTGCTTTACCCACAGTCATTCTATTCTTGACACCCTGCACGCAACAATGGACCAAGAGAAGTGTACAAAGCATCGGCTATTTTCACTCAACATGGAATGCTGCTGGGGCATTCTTGTGATAGAATGCATCGTTGAATTGGCCAAGGTGGTTTAATTTCTCCCCTGTCCTGCATGACCTCTGTCTTTACACAGATGTAGATTCCGGGTCATTTCAATATCTGCTCCCAGTGAACCAAATCCACTCAGACCTCTATTACTAACTTTGTTGAATAAAGATGGTAATAATACTACTCTATTCAGCTGGTTGGTTAACTGAAGTGATTATGCATAGTGATCAGCAATTGTATCTATAATTATCCTCAAACAATGGTTAGTTTTTATTGGGAAAAGATAGATAACAAGATACACTGCATTAATAAGCCAAGCACTGATGATTATGGAAACACACACACACACACACACACACACACACACACACACACACACCACATTCCAAGAACATCATATGACTTGTATACATTATGTTTCTTCTATTTATTCACTATGATGTCTTAACACAAATTACATCATATTTTTTAACCTCACATCTCCAGCAGAATTCTTTTTTTTTTTAAAGAATGAATTAAGGAACATGGAGGCACAGAGTGTGGGATAGAAAATAAAAACAAAAATTAATTGTTTTACAAATTGTGTTACCAATAAACCAGTACAAAAGATGTGTTCTATGAAACACAATGAAGAGTTAAAATGAGGCATTTCCTTAGCAAGGCTGAGGATTCCAGTCTCTGTGTTTGGAATTTAGAATGCAGAAATTACATAATATCTAGAAGGATATTAACACCCATGTGGAAGGTTGGTATGAGGACTAGAGACATAAAGAGTTGCATATTTTAATTTAATATATGTGAAAACACCGACCACAATGCCTGAAACAAAGGGCTGTCGAGGTGGCTCGGTGGTTAAAAGCACTTGTTGATCTTTTGGAGGACTGGGAATCAATCCCAGCACTCACAGGGCAGCTTACAATTGTCTATAACTCCAGTTCTAGGGCCTCTGATGCCCTCTCTTTTGGCCTTCTTGGGCACCAGGCATGCACATGGTACACATATATTCATGTATGCAAAATACTATACACATAAATTAGTAAATCTAAACATAAAATTTTTTAAAAGATTATAATACATGCATTTTCCTTTCTTTCATCCCACTCAGAAAGTTTTAAGTTTCTTGGATCTTTTTTCTTTGTATCTCCAAAGCATGGCTTCTCTTACATCCTATGCACATGTGTAAAGTGTATTTTTATATACTTATATTTTTTAATTAAATCATGCCTAACATTGATTAAAAAACAATTTTTTTATTGAAAATAGATTCTTCTCTCATACAGTACATCCCAAACACAATTTCCCTTTCTTCCTCTTCTCCCAGCTCCCCCAAAACTCCCCTCTCCCCCAGATCCACTTCCCTTCCAATTCCTCTTGAGAAAAGAGGCCTCCCAGGGATATCAAACAAACTCGGCATAGCAAGTTACAACAAGACAGGCAAAAGCCCTCATATCGAGGCCGGACAAGGCAACCCAATAAGAGGAAATGAGTCCCAAGATCAGGCAAAAGAGTCTGAGACACACCCACTCCCACATTCAGGAGTCCCACGAAAACGTCAAGCTAACAGCAAATACATATGCAAAGGACCTGGTGCAGACCCCTACAGGCCTCTTCAGTCTCTGTGACCCCGTGCGAACTCTGCTTAGTTGACGCAGTTGGCCATGTTGTTCTGGCATCCTCAATGCACTCTGACTCCTAAAGTCTTTGCCTCTTCCATGGAGTTCCCAATCTCCGAGGTGAGAGACCTGTTGGAGACCTCCAATTTAGACTCGTTGTCCACATAACGTCTGGCTGTAGGTCTTTGCACCCGCTCCCATCTGCTGCTGGAGGATGCATCTCTGATGATGACTGGAAAACGCACCGATCTTTGAGTACAGCAGAGATTTGTTGGAATCATTTCATTGATTTTTTTTCCCCAGTAGTGTTTGGTTCTACCCTAGGACTCTGAGATATCCAGTCTCAGGTTCATCCAGGCAGTGTAGGGAAAGGACTCCCTTTTGTAGGGTGGGCCTCAAATGAAACCAAACATTGGTTGGCCATTCCCACAAGTTCTGGGCCACCATTGCCCCAGTATATCTTGTAGGCAGGACAGATTGTCTATCAAGGGTTTTGTGACTAGGATGGTGTCCAGGTTTCTTTTCCTGTAGCCTGTAGAGTACCTTCTTGTGCCAGAGAGATTAGAATACAGGGGTGAAGGTTCCAAGTGGGTACCAGCTCTACCTCTCTACATTCAATGAGCTAACTGGAAGTTGTCTTCGACAATGGGACCCTAGTATCAGGTTTTTTTAATTATTAAGAAATTTTCTATTTACTTTACATACCAACCACAGATCCCTCCTCTTCCCTCTTCCCACCCCAAGCCTTCCCCCCAACCCATGCCCATCCCCACATTTCCCAAGTCAAGGTTTCCCATGGGGAGTCAGCAGAGACTGGCACACTGAGCTGAGGCAGGTCCAAGCCCTCCCCCCTGCACCAAGGCTGTGCAAGGTGTCACACCCTAGGCACTGGGCTCCAAAAAGTCAGCTCATGCACCAGGAATGGATCCCAATCCCCCTCTGTCCTATCATAAGTCTAGGTTGTTTAGGGACCTCCACAGGACCCCCTCAGCCAACAACTCAACCAAATGCTACCCAGTCCCATCACTGGAAGCCTTGCCTGTCTACTAAAGATAGCTGACTCTTTTTTGCTCTGTGTCCTCCATTACTAGGAGTCCTCACTAGGGTCCTCCTCATAGATTCCAGAAAGTTCCCACTACTCAAAGCTTTCACACACTTCCCATACTCCCCAATTCCAACTGTCTCTCCCTTCATACTCTCCGTCCACTCCCTCCACCTGATCATTGTATATCTATATTTCATTGCTCTCCTTGTGAAACCAACGTTATGACTGATTAGCACACTTCTTCTTCTCTTAGTTTTGTGGATATGCATATGCTTTGACATGTCTCAGCTTTGAGATCTCAGCAAAATACTAGGGTCTGAAGCCATGACATTCTTCTGCCACGAGAGCCTTGTGGGAAGGAAGTTTTCATGGGGCATAGAGTATTATAATGTGTCCCCGATGATAAGGATTGTAATTGAGCAAGAGGCTCCAGTCTCTAGACTCTGACAATTCATCACTGCTTTTGTGCTAAACCCAACAGAGATGCGTAAGTAGGCTTATTCCTGGAAGATACAAGACTCTCTGATGGACTTTACAGTACTGCTTTGCATAACAGTCTTGGATCACTACATTCACACTACTTCCTATTTTTCTTCACCTGAAATTAACTTGCACTGTGACTGAATAGTTCCCCTACTTCCCATTTTTTCCCCCACAGCAATTTCCCTATGATAAAGCCTTTGCATATTTGACGGTTTGTTTGCATCTCTTAATGCAGTAGTACTATGCTACTGTGCCAATATCAAACATACAATATTTTATTCTATGTTCCTTCATTCTTTGTTCAACAGGCAACATTTTTCACAACAGGCATCTGTTTTATAGGAGGTAGGAAGCTATTAAAGAAAGTAAAAGTAATATGATTGAATCAATCAATTCAAGATAAACTGTTAGCCAATGTGTAAAACAGACATAAAAATAGAAACATGGATAGTTCATAATATTTTAATCATAAAAAATAAGGGTATCTAAGAGCATAGTGGGAATTCAACAAAAGAAAATGAAAGTGTGCATTTCAGAACTACACTACACACACTATCACATTTGTCTTGGCTTGGACTCCTCTTGTTATCATTTTGTTTTATTTTTAGGTGGAATTTCATGCAGCCCAGACTGGCCCCAAACTCACTACATAGCCAAGGATGACCTTGAATTTCTTATTATCTCTTCTTCTGCCTCCAAAGTGCCAGGGTTACAAGCCTGGACCACAAAGCCCTATTTATGGTGGTGATCCAACCCAGAGTTTCTGAAATGCTAATTGAACACTCCATCAACTGAGCCATATCTCCAGCACCTACAGGGCTTTACAATGAGAAAGGGAACATATGAATGACAGCAATTTAGTGCAAAATGAAATGGAGGGTTGTTTGGTTGATTTGGGGGTTTATTTACTTATTTATTTATTTATTATTTTATTTATTTTCACAGACCATAGGAGATCAAAAAATTTGATTGTTCACTCAGAAAGAGTATAGGGGATGGTGATAAATATACATTAACCAGTATAGGAGAGGCATTAGTGAGAGCACATGAAATCCAGAGCACTGGAGCAGCTTCCTATAAGCCGGAAGTAGGACGACATTTTAGTTGCTCAATAGAGAGGAGAATCATAATGAAGGTCCCAAGAAAGGGCCCAGGGAAGCCAAGGCTGCAGGGACTACCCCAGGACTCAGGGCAGCAACTGCTTGTCATTAGCCAATGGTTCAGAAATACAAGCCTGCAAATGTTAACAGTTGGCAGAGCCACAGCTGTGCCCTGGTTGAACTTTAGTCATGGTTATCCTTTGGTGTTATTTGAGGTCAGTACCAACAAACCCCAATAACTGTCCACCTAAGTCATCAATACAAATGCAATTTGCAAAAAAACTCAGAAAGCCCAGTTCTGAGTAGCACGCTTCTTCACCCCTTGCAAATTTTACTCACACAGTTGCCCTTGTCGTAGACCTTTCTAAGTGAAAACATGTTCTCCACAGGCACACATTTGAATAGCTTGACATATTATGATCCTAAGATTTCTCTGTTTGTAAGATGCTACATTTTTCTAATGTTTGACATAAGCATTTTCCTCCACTATATTTTAGGCGACTTCCCCAAAGTAAAGTTGATAGGTAGAAGAAATGAACACTAAAAAAAAATTCTTGATAGTCAGTGTGGTTTGTTTTTGCTGGAAAGAAAGTACTTTAATAGTAAGTTTTGATTTATGGAAGTTTTCTCTAAAGTAGACATATCTATCCATTTCTCCATTTCTGTTGTTTCTAAATTATAAAACCCCCTCTCTGGATGATTTGTAATCAAGAAATCTAGAGATATTGAATGGGCCGACTCATAGCCTTCCATATGTGCCTATATCTTAACTCTAAATACCTTAAACCCCTGATACCTTACATGGCTATATATATATATATACTTTACAGATGTGAATAGCTTAAAGAACTATGGAAAGCAAGATGGAGTTTTCTCAAGGATGTAAAAATAGAACTATCATAGCCATAGCTGTGGGTATCTACCCTAAGAATTCTCTATCACAGAGATACTTGTATATTTTTGTTTATTGTAGTTGTATTCACAATAGTAAGGAAATAAAATGGGCTCACATATCCATCAACTGATGAATAGATGAAGAAAATACATATTCAGTGGAGCTTTTTTAGCCATGGAAAATGCAATTTTCAAAAGAAATGGATGGATCTGGAAATGATTACGTTAAATGGGGGAAACAAAGACAGGTAGTGCATGCCCTCTCCCACATGTGGGTTAGAACCCTAGATTTTTATCTTTGATGTATGTGTGCCTATGTGGATATGATTGTGGGTATAGGACACTGAGTTGGAAGTGTTGAAGTAAAGAGGAGTGTAACAGACCACATGTGAGATGAAAGCAGAAAGGGAACCACTGGAGATAGAAGAGTAATTAGAGGGATCAGTGAGGGAATGGGAAGAGGTTAAGGGAAAGAACAAAAACCCTAAATTATGCATGAAAGCAAAAAAATAAATTACTCACTTTATGTCAATTGCGAAATGAAAAAATAAAGGATATTGAGGTTAATTTATCTTGAACTACTCAGGTAGGCCTGATGAGCTTGCAACAATCCTTATAAGAGAGGCATAGATTCTAACATAGGGCTGGAGGAACAGGCACTGTGGCAGCAGAAGCCACAAATCTAGGGTCACTGACACCCTCTAGAAATTGAAAAAGAGGAAGAACGTATGTTTCCATGGAATCTCCAGGGAATCAACTCTCTGGCATTTAGTGTTATTTTCATAAGATTCTCTTTGGTTTCTGAGCTCTAGTAAGTTATGAGACTATACTTAGATTTTAAGACTCTAAATTTGTGGTAATCTGTTGCTATGACAACAAATGTCATAGAGTGAGTGATGTTATTTTGTACCTTACCACCCAAATTACCAGTAAACGTCCAATTCTCAGTAAACAGTCCATGTGTTTCAAGAGGAAATGTGTGTCCATACAAACCTTTTGTGCGAATTTTTTCAATGTGATATATATAGATATAGATATATAATGTATACATATATAATATATATGGTGTATAATTTTAGGTAAATATAAAAATAATGATTCCTTGAGGTTTTATTAAACAACTTTGGTGTTATTTATCCCTTTTCCCTCCCTCTCTTGCTATCTACCATCTACCCTTCTCCACAGCTATAGCCTGCCTGTTACTCTGTTTCCCACTTCATATCACCTGTATCCTGCATACGCCTCCCAAGCCCCACCCCAACACATACCTACAGTCCCTTTATATTTTCCTGGTTTCTGCTGCTATACCATGTTTTATACTCACATCTGAGTATTTGGAGCTAGGAACTGTAAATGAGAGAGAACATGTAGCATCTGTCTTTCTGGGTCTGGGTTACCTCACTCCATATAATCTTTACTAGCTCCATCCACTTACTTATATGACTTCATTTTTCTCTGTAGCTGAATAACATTCCATAGTGTATATGAACCACATTTTTATCATCCATTCCTCATTTAGGTTGTTTCTATTCCTAGCTAATGTGAATAGGCCAACAACAAACATTGCTAAGCAAATATCTGTGGAGTAGAAAGTCACTTGGGCTAACAATGCTCCCCACAAGAACCAGAGAGTAACAAAACCCCAGTACCAGGCATGAGAAACATCCCTTAGAATGGTTGGTCAGTCAAGTGACTTATGAAATAGTATTTATAGATGTAGCCCCTGACTGCCTCTCAGGAGTTGACAGTGGTTCCCTGTTGCTGAAGACACAACACACCTAAGACATGGGACTTGGATATTTATATCTGGATCTAACCTAAAAGTCTCTTTTTTTTGCAACCTAGCTTCTTCCATTATTCCAGAAAATACTCTGCAAACAGCCAATGGAAGGAAGCAATTAAACATCCCTAACCACCTATGAACCACAATAATTGGCAGCGTGGCAAGGTATGCATAAAGGTGCAAGAAATGGCACTTAAATGTCAGTGGCCACCAACAGGTGCCTAACTTGACTGAAGGCCACTCAACAGGAGGGAAATTATGCCTAGTACTGGAAACCTATTCAACTTCCTAGGACTAGGGAAGTTTTGGATCTTAGAAAAGAACCTACTAACTGCACTTTGCTGGACTACCATTTCTTACTACATTCTAAAACTCATCTTTATACCCACCAATAAGTGAAGCTATGACCCCTCATCCAAGA